AAGTAAAATGCCCCTAGGGGTTCCTGGGTGGCTCAGTCAGTTAAGCTCCTGACTTTGGTTCAGGTCATGATCTTGTGGCTTGTGAGTTTGAGCCCCACATCAGGCTTGCTGCTGTCAGCACAGAGTCTGCCTCAGATCCTCTGCCCTCCTCTCTCTGCTCCTCCCCCACTTGTGCACTTGCTCGCTCACCCTCTCTCTCTCTCTCTCAAAAATAAACATTTTCTTAAAAAAAGTAAATCACCACTAAACACGACAGTCTGGGTCTATCTCACAGCCACAATGTTGAGCATGTGTAAGACGTTCAAAAACAGAAAAACTAATCTATGGTGATAAAAGTTCGAGAAGAGCATCATTTATGGGAAGGCACCGCCTTCTGGGATGTTGGCAATGTTTTATAGCTCAATCCATTGCGGTGGTTCCTCGGATTTATGCACGTGTAAACATTCTTCAAGATTAGGTGCTTTGCTGGGTGTATGTCATACCCCAATACAACGTTAACAAATATCCCCACATATAATTAATCATTTGCAATAAGTGCCAGCAAGAAAAATCACAGTGTTCCACAGGGGACCCTATCTGATCTGGGGGGGTCTAGGATGGCCTCTGCGGGAAAGTCAGAAGAAGCTTCAAAGAGGAGTTCACAGAAAAGAGCCTGTGGTAGGTGCTGGATTGAGAACAGCTGGACCTCTGGGAGATTTGAAAGGGTGACAGAAGGCCTGGCACAGGGAGCTACAAGAGGGAGGGGTGTGGGACAAGCATGCAGAGGTGAGCCTGGGCTTGAATTGGCAGCCACTTGGAACCTGTGTTAAGGACGTGACACTGAGCTCTGAGACCAATGGAGAGGCTTTCAAGGAGGAAACATATCACAGATTACTTAGAAAAGAGTAGATGTTAGGGGCGCCTGGGGGGCTCAGTCGGTTAAGCCTCTGACTCTTGATTTCTGCTCAGGTCATGATCTCAAGGTTCATGAGCTCAAGCCCCATGTCGGGCTCTGCGCTGACAGTGCTGAGCCTGCTTGGGATCCCACCCCCACCCTGCTCTGTCTCTCTCTCTCTGTGCCCCTCCCCTGCTTGTGCTCTCTCTCCCTCTCTCTTTCTCTCAAGATAAATAAATAAATTTTTTAAAAAAGAGTGGATATTCAATTCAGGTACTTTTTCTACTGGCTGGGTTGATGACTGAGGGTCTCTCTGTAGCAATACTTGAGTCTCCAATTTGCACTTAGGGAAACCACTCATTGAATAAAGATCCTAACTCTTCTCCTTACTGCCCATCCTGGCCAAGACAGCAGTGCCACTAAGTCAGTCTCTGCTATACACACAGGATTAAGCATGGACACTCAGACGTAACGTCTGGAGATGGACTACGTCTAAATACACAGACCAAGACCTTTTTGCATCACCAGCCAGCATGGTTTGCTAGTGTACTATTGCTCAAACAGGCTTCCATGGGAACACCAGGGCTCCGTGGAGCACAAATTGCTATCTGTAGTTAACCACGCTTAAGAACCGAGTGTTGGTGTGGAAGAAAAGGAACGCTCATGCACTGTTGGTGGGAATGCAAACTGGGACAGCCGCTGTGGAAAACAGTACGGAGGTTCTTCAAAAAAATTAAAATAGCCAGTAGTTCCATATGAGCCAGTAATTCTACTACCGGGTATTTACCAAAGAATACAAAAACGCTAAATCAAAAAGATACGTGCACTCCTATGTTTATAGCAGCATTATTTACAAAAGCCAATTATAGAAGGAGCCCAAATGTCTATCAATAGATGAATGTATAAAGAAGTGGTATATATACATAATGGAATATTACTCAGCCATAAAAGAGAATGAAATCTCGCCGTTTGCAACAACATGGGTGGAATTAGATGATATAATGCTAAGTGAAATAAGTCCGTCAGGGCAAGACAGATGCCACATGATTTCATTCATATGTGGAATTTAAGAAACAAACTAACAAAGAATAAAAAGAGACAAACCAAAAAACACACTCTTCACTATAAAGAACACACTGATGGTTCCCAGGGATGAAGTGGGCAAGGGGGTGGATGAAATAGGTGACGGGGGTTAGTGAGGACACTTAGCATGATGAGCACTGAACCATGTATAGAATTGTGAAGTCACTATATTGTACACTTGAGACTAATGTAACACTGAATGCTTATAATACAGGATTTTTTTTTAATCGAGAGATGTAATAAAGATGTTAGTTTGTACATATAAAAAACAAAGTCAACTGGTCACGCTTTAAAAAATGCCTGTGAAATAGTTGGTCAAAGTTGGGACGGTTTTTCTATCGCAGGATGTCTCTCAGGGGGTTTCCTACGTTAATGTGCATTACGATCCTCTAAGAGCAGAAAGCAATGTGCAACATTTCCAAACTTGCTTGAGCCACACAGCCCTTTCGTGGGGTAAACTATATTAGCAATTCAAGGAATTACTCAGTGAAACACACTGTGGGAAGTAGTGATCTGAAGCTGACAGCACGGTGGTCAGGCACTTTTTACCAGTTAGGGACTTATGGCATTATGACAAGCAATAACCTCCGTTATCTTAATTAATTCCTAGCATACATGACAGAAAGCTGAGGTTGTTGTTTTATTCTTGTCTTTCACCAAGTTTTATTTCTTCCTTCACCAATACCTGCTCGTCTTCTGTATTTGTTCTTTGGAAGCTCATTCATCTTCATTGGCTGTAGATTATTCTCTTTTCTGGCAATTTTAGGTACCAAAACAAAAACAAAAACCCCAAAACTTACACTAACTCCTTATAAATCACTTGAAAGAAGCTTTATTGTTTTTTAACCCCTTTCAAAAATTATCATAAAGCTACCTGGGCTCAGATCCCCATCCTAAGCATCACTGTTGGCACGTGAAATAATGCTTTTCATATCTCAAGTCCAAAATCATGTTATCTGTTGTAGACAATTTTAGTGGAACCGACGGCAAAGATCCCTAGAAATGTTAATTCTGCTGCATCTGACATACTGAGAATTTTTGGTATTCAACCCAAGCTTTGCATTTTCTTTGCCATTTTCAAAATGCACAGCCTCACACTCTCTTTCAAAGGCTCTGGTATTATCCAGAAGCAATTACGAAGAAAAACGAAATTACCTTTCGTCATTCTATCTATTCAGGGCCTTGGAAATGCAGACTGACAATGAGCTGACAATTATTTGCAATCCACTTTCAGTTAATTTCACCATAAATTGAGCCTGAGGACTGCTGACAAATAAAATATATTATTCATCTGAAAACATTCTCTTTGGGGCTCCAGATCTCCAATCTATTTCATTAGTGATCACGATCAAACTAAGTTGAGGATTGATTTATGCAATAGTTATCCCACTGCAATAATTAATTAGGAAAATAATAGTTTGGTGGAGCTTTGAAAAGGAGCAGTTTCTAAGGCTCTTTGATAAAATAGAAAACTTTTAAAATAATTATGAGGCAGTGTCCCCAAGGGAGCAGATATGCCTTGCCCTTGCCTATTTCCACAAGTCACTAGACTTGAATCACTGTCAGGGATGAGCTCCTTGAATCTCAATTCAGTTCATCTAACAATTTTTTAGTGTGCCTTGCAGGCCAGGCCCTGTGTGCTGAGTCTGTGAGTGTTACAGAAAGGGAGCATCCTCAATGACTGCACGTGGGCGGGTAACCATGTACGGTATGAAGGGTCCTAATCGATACTTATAATAGACATAATAGCAAAGAGCTTTTGCAAGCCTCCAGGGATTAACTCTGCTCCCATCACTGGGGAATGCTGCATGGGAGAAAGTGGCACTGAGACTTGTCCTAGGATAATAGGTACACTTTCAGTTGCATGAGATGAGGGGCTGTGGCTGGAGGGAATACAAGAGCAATACCAGGCAGAGAGAAGAGTATAAACAATTGCAAGGCACTAGGACAGTTGCATGTGGGATTGAGAAAAAGTAAGAAATCTAGGGTGGTTGTGAGAGGTGAGGAGAGGAAGACACGCTGAGATCAGATCGTGACAGGGAAACAAAGGACACAGGCTACTTGTACTAAGTTGGTTTTTAAAATCAGGGGCTGTGGGGCTCAAATGAGACATCCGAGGGCAGTGTCATAAGATGAAGGAGCGATGGAAGGTACTGTAATCGTGCTGATGAGACACAATAAAGACTTGCGGAAGAAGAAAATAGGAATGCAAGGAGCTTTGGAATCATTTATTCACCCCCTTGGAATCACGGCACGTTGCAGTCAGAGGCTAGAAGGGTCTCATGGGTGCTGAGGTCATGGAAGTTGTGAGCAAGAGAGGGTGAGGAAAATAAACTATGAATTAAGTGCTAAAGTCTTAAAGAGGGTGGGAGTATCTTGGAAGGTGATAGAGGAGGAGGATGTTCCTTCTGTCATTGGTTCATTTGTTCATTCAAAACCCTGTCGTTGAAAACCTACTCTACTGGGCACTGGGAACACAGACACCAGTAAGACAATGAAGTCAGCAGCTTTGATCAAAGGGGGACTTAATCATCTTCGGGCAGGAGAAGAATTCAAGGTTAGTTAACAGACCTGGAAAGTGGGAAGCCATGGAATGGAGAAAAATGTGGATGTACAGGCCAAGAAGATTGTGTAAAGACATGGGGGGAAATGCTGCTCTAACTCCAGCTTCACGTCATTTTTCCAGGCAGGAAGACAAGAAAGGAAAAGGGTTAACGGTGTGTATGCTCTGGCTTAACCTCTCGGTAGTATTTTTCCTAGGATAGATCCACTGACATTTGACTTCTCAGAAGTAGATCACCTGTCTACCAATCTGCACGAAAGGCTGGGAAATGTAGAAATCAACTGAGCACATTTTTATACCCAATAGATTCTAGAAAGGGTGCAAGAGAGAATGAACATGGCATAGATGACTCACAAGTACATTTTGCATGTTTAAATGTGTTTTTCTTCTATCCTCCTGGATGATTAAGTCTTATCAGAGGACAGAATTCTAGGGGAGCAATAATTTTTTCTTTAGAATTTTGGCTGCATCACTCCATTTGTGTTCTGGCTTCCCATGTTACTTTAGAGGAATCATGCCAGTCTGATCTTCATTTCTTTGTTGTGTGGCCTGGTCTTTCTCTGGGTAAGTTCTTGGCATCTTCTCTTTATCTCTAGTGTTCTGAAATGTCACTATACTGTGCATGAGTATAGATCATTTTTCCATTATTATACATGGCACTTGGAGGGTCTTTTCAATCTGGACACTTCTTTAATATTTCTTTGAAAATTCTCTCCTGCTGCCTTCTGTTGAGATGTCTGACCTCCTGGGTATTTCCTGGGCTTTGTCTTCCAGTTCTTCTATTGGATTTTTAATTTCAGCTATCACTTTTCTTAAATTTCCAAGAGCTCTAATGATTCTAGTGATTACTAGTTATCTAGTTATAATCTGGCATTGTCTATAATGATAATTATGTAATCATTGTACACAAGGCTGTTAAATGAGATTTGTAAAAATAAATTTGGAGTTTTGGCAGAGGCTTAAAGTCTAGTATGAAACGCACTCCAAAGGAAGATACCAGACAATTCATATAGGATTTGCTATATTACAATAAAACAAGTCCATTAGCCCACCTCCTGTCTGTATCCCAGATGTGAAAATAATAAATAAACAAACAAATAAATAAATGAGCAAACAAACAAATAAGGCTGGAGACTCTTTGGAGTGGGGATTTTCTTTTTTTTGAAGAGTTACATGTGGAGGTGTGAACATTTAAGGTAGGTGTTTCTTTTCACCCCTTAGGCCAAGCAAGGGTCATGAACATATTCAAGATCCCGGAATAACCTGTCATGGATAGAGACCAACGTCTCACCGCCCCCCACCCCCCACCCCCAGCCAGCTTCTGCTGAGCTGCAGAAGCCTGTGGACCTACTCTATGTTGCAACCTGAACAAAGGGTGGGGAAAACAGTGTCCTTGAGAGAATTAGACCCATACCCTTGGGGAGCCAGGTGGGTGGGGGCAGGGAGATTAGTGCCTTCTACTCACCTGAGGCTGCCTGGAGATGTCTGTATGGAACAAAGAAGGGACCAGAGTGGGAATGACCTAAACTTCCATAATTCGATTAGACAGAGATTCATGAGTTTTCCCCAGAACTAAGTAAGAAATCAGCAAAGAAAGACTGACCTTGAAAAGATCCCACCAAGAGTTCTACACCAATAGAATGAGCTTGTACTGGGGGGATGTGGAAGGACAATTAAGGGAACATCATGAGATGCCAGGTACATGGTGGTTCACCCAGTGACGTGTGGGAAGAACAGAGCAAGGCCAAAGGCCCCCAAGCAGTGGGCAAAAAATCTCGTAAGAGCACCCCCCGATAAAGGGTCAGTCTTGGGGAACCTGCCACACAGAGGCATCAATGCCAAATACAAACAGCCCAGTCAAATACAGTTTTCCTTGTCTCTCCTAACGGGAGGGACAGAGGCATCAGTTAGTAACTGGGGGAAGAACAGGGGTGAAAGATAAAAGTATAGAGCATGAACCTCTACTTACATTTTGCAGAATTCAAGGTCAGATCCAAGCTAGGAAAGGGGAGAAGACGTCAATTGCATGAAAGATTGAAGATTAGATTTGGCAGGACTCTTTAATAAAATCTCCTAAAATAGGAGACTCTTTTAATCTACAGAAGTATCCATAAGAGGCTTAGAATCTGCACAAGATATCATCCAGGTGTGGGTGAAAGGAAATCTAGCAGAACGACTTTAAAGAAGATGAATGGGAAGAAAACCAGGTTGTTCCCTGCTTGCACCTTATCAAGTATAACCCATTTAATAAACTGATTACAAGAGCATTTTCGTCTCCCTTTCTATTCTCTTGGTCCTTGTAGAATCATAATTTTGCCATTATTTTACTTGGGTTTCAAAAGAAAGAAAAGATGAGCACGTGTGTTCAGTCTCTTTTTTAACCACAAGTCAATACAACATAGGTTTTTTGCACCAAGAGCTCCTTTTCCAGGAAAGACTAAGGACCTACTGATATCCAAAGTGAGAAGTCAACAAATAGCAGGGCAATCTCAAATTTTCACTTAAATATTGAGTATATTCCACTTTATGTAAGTTAATTTAAAAAAATTGTAACTTGTGGCTGCCATTTGAACTCCTTTCTCTGAAAGGATAATCATTGCCTGTCACATCTGCCACCTGGTGGCCACTCTGATAAACACATTATGCTAATATCACCACACTACACCTTTTCATTCATTCACCCATCCATCCATCATCCGTCCATCCATGCATCCATCCATCCACTCATCCGTTTATGGTGCATTTGTTCGAAGCAAGCTCTAGGCATACAGATAAATAGAACACACACAGCTCTTCCTTGAGGAGATGACAATCTGTGGGGGAAATTTTTTTTTTTTTTTTTGATGGAGAATTTTAAGAGCTAAGGTTCTAAGGCTCAAGTCTATGTTTTCTACTTCTTTTTCCCCCCTTGACAGGATTCTTCCTTGTAATGTAATGAATGATACTTAAGTCTTTGCCATCTTGAAAGAAAGCTAAATAAACAAATCCTCCATCAATCATGCTACCACTAACCATCTTCCTATCATCATCGAACTTCTCCAAAGAGGAGTCTACGGGGGCGCCTGGGTGGCTCAGTCTGTTGGGCGTCCGACTTCGGCTCAGGTCATGATCTCGTGGTCCGTGAGTTCGAGCCCCACGTCGGGCTCTGGGCTGATGGCTCGGAGCCTGGAGCCTGCTTCCGATTCTGTGTCTCCCTCTCTGCCCCTCCCCCGTTCATGCTCTGTCTCTTTCTATCTCAAAAGTAAATAAACGTTAAAAAAATTTTTTAAAAAAGAGGAGTCTACGTCCTCTGTCCCCTCTCTCTTGCCTCTAATTCACTTTAATGGCTGTTTTTATTTAGGTCATTTTTAGTATGTTTTGATTATAATGAATTTAAATACGCAGAAAATAAGAATAATGTAATAACTACCCATCTATTTATCATATGCTTTATCAAATATTGGCATTATACCACATGTGCCTCATATCTCCTTTGCCCAAGAAATAAAACATTACAGGTAGAATTGATGCCCTTTGGTCCTCCTTTCTGTTCCTGCTCCCTTTCCATCCTCCCTAGTGAAAACCACAATCATGAGTGTAATTCTCATGCATACCTTCATACTTTTCTCACACATTTCTGTATATATAAGCATTGAATAATATTATTTTGAGTGTTTGTAAACTTAGCAAATCATTATGAATGTTGTTTTCTTAAAAACTTAACTTTACATTTTTCATAGTTATGTTATATTCAAACATGTAACTCTAGATGATTTTCACTACTATATACTAATCCACTGCATGGAGATATCACAAATCATATATCCATTCTTCTGATGAATAGTTAGGTCATATTAAGTACTTTTCTATCTTAAACCATGCTTGCTACGGGCAGTTTCGTGCACATCTCCTTGATCTCATGTGCAATTCTTGCGAAGATGACCCTCTATCCTTCCCCCCGTTCTGGAAAGTAAGGAAGAATCTCTCAGGAGTCCTCTCAACTGAGGGTCTTTGCTGGCCCATCACATCCTCTGCTAGCAACAAGAAACATTACTATTCCAAGCACTGGATTTGATCCTCTGTCCACACAACCCCAAACCAGAAGTGAGTCACCTTCCAAGTTGATCCCACTTACAATGAACGGCCACAAGCTTTTTTTTCTCTATCAACGTAATTCAGATTTCTTTTTCTCTTTCCTAGCTATAAAGTGATGATATAATGGTTCAAATAAACACTTGTTAGAATTATAATTTTTAGGGTGATGTTTTACAATTTCAGATTATTTCACTGCAATCTTATACATTAATGACTTCTGTGTTAGTCTATTTGTAGGTAGAGTAATTAGAGTATTTTTGGTGTTGTTAACAAGTCCAGTAAAATAATCCAGAAACATGACAGTAATTTTTGTCTTTATCAAGACACATGAAGGGTCTTAGAAATTGTAGATTTTAGAAATCTACAATATATGTGTGAATCTTTTGAGTAAATTATTTTCATCTTATTTGATTTCAAGATAATGAAAGCATAATGTGTGTTCATTGCTACTTAAGAAGTCTCTCCTATTGATCCAGAAAAAGAGCGTTCTCGGGTCTCTCTTCTAAAGTAATTTTGGATTTTTTCTCATTTAGTTTCCCAAGGAAGCTTGACTAAACTGTAATTCCTAGGGTAATGTTATATAAATGTAGTTTATTTAGCAGTTAATTTCCTGAGTGAATGGTTTCCTTTTCTTCCATTTCCAGATAGTGTAAGTGTTGGATTTTTGGTTGTGGCTGTTTACTAAGTCCTCATAACAGGAAGGGTAGTAGGAGTTTCACATGAGCAATCTTGCCACTGGGGACATTTGAAACTCAAAGTCCCTTTCTATAGGCCAAGGGCTGAATTGATTCCAGAGTTAGGGCTAACATGTTTACCAAACAATTTTCTTTAAGCCATCTGATTGCTCTCATGGTGCTTCAGTGAGATCCAAACCCTTTCTGATGGTCCAGCAGGTCCTGCCTGGTCTGGGCCGCACAGCATCATCAATTGCCTTAAGCTATCTATGCTCCAGCCCCTCAGGTATGCGGAGCTCCTCTGCTGGGCCGTTCAGGTTCCCTCAGCCTGAAATGTCTTTCCCTACTCCGTATCTAACTCTTACTCAACTCCAGGTCTCTACCATCTGTCCTTGGAGAAACTTTCACTGACTTCTCACTCAAAATCGTACCTCCTACTCCCCTTTTTCATCCCACCTTTCAACTTGCCCTTAAGAGCACTCACTTCAACATGCAAGCATATAATTATTGATCTGATTATTTGCTGATGGTGCATGTTCAGTCCACAGCTCCTCTTGGTTCATTTTCTGTATTCAGTGTTTGCCAGGCAGAGGGTTGCAGGGGAGCAGAGGGAGGGCGCACGGCATTTGGGGGGACGATTCTTCCTCTTACGGTATACTAGTCAGGTTATGCCATAATGACCATAGTTAGCAAACAGCCTCCAAATCTCAGTGCTCAGAACAAACATTAATATGCCGCTCATGGATTTAGTTGGGCTGGGGTTCCAGGTCCCCTCCTTTCTCTCCTGTCTATTTCTCAGTCGGGGGCCCGGGCAGAGGAAGCAATGGCTGCCTGGATACGTTCTCATGATGGGTAGAAGGAGATAAGAGAGTGATGGAAATATGGAAAGGTTCTTAGCACCTCAGCCCAGAACTGACACAATCTCAAAGATTCCCATATTCCTGTGGCCAAAGCAATTCTTATGACTCAAAGTGAGTGCAGGACACGTGACATCCCTAACAGCTGGGTGCTAAATGTTGGTGATACTTTCCACTCACTGTGAAAATTCCAAATGCCCCCTGGGTGCCCAGTCACTCCTGCCACCCCCATTGATATTGCTTCCCAGTGCCTGGCACACAGTATGCGCTCAATGGAGATTTGGGGGAAAATTAACTTTGCCAGATCACCCTCTAGCACCTTTGTAAAAACGTACTTAACAACTAAGGAGTGCTATGGCATTGATGTCCTTTAAACAGTAATTATTACTTCCACGCAAAGGTACCTCATTTTAACTTTTTAATGTGAGGCTGAGAATTTTTTTTCATACATTTAGGGACAATTTCTTTTAGAAATTCTCTCCTTGTGGGCGCCTGGGTGGCTCAGTCGGATAAGCATCCGACTCCTGATTTTGGCTCAGGTCATGATCTCACAGTTTGTGAGATCAAGCCCTGCATCAGGCTCTGCACGCACATTGCAGAGGCTCCTTGGGATTCTCTCTCTCCCTCTCTCTCTCTCTGCCCCTCTCCTGCTCTCTGTCTCTCAAAATAAATAATTTTTATTTAAAATAAATTTTTTAAAAATTCTCTCTTCAAGTCTTTTGCTCATTTAAAAAATTTATTTTATTTTATGTTACGTTATACTATTTTTTTGAAGTCAGACGCTTAACCGATTAAGCCACCCAGGTGCCCCTCTTTTGCTCATTTTTGTATTAAATTTTCCTTCCTCATTTGTAAGAACTCTTGTCACAGGTAATGAATATTTTTCAGTTTGCCTTTTACATGTTTTATGGATTTTTTGACAGGCCAGGCCAGACATTGTTCATATTTACATAGCTTCGTCTCTCACCCCCTTCTTGCACGGCCTACTACAGGGAACATCTTTCCCCCCCGGCAACATGATGTTACACAAAATGGGCACGTTGAAATGTATCTAACCATTCCTTTTCATGGGCTACTGACATGGTTTCCAGGGTTTCCTCTCATCAGTGACACTGTCATGAAGGTCTTTGTCCATAAGCCCTAAAAGTGGAAGCATCCCATCCAAGGATATTTTTTAAGTTCTTGGTACATTTTGCCAAATGACTCCTGAGACTCTACCCTCCAGGACCCACACCGTGGACCCTCACACCATAGGTGCCCACATACGAGGCTCTGCTGAAGAAGCCCTTACCAGCCAGCTTGTCTGGCAGCAAGCAAGGTGAGAGGGGTGACAGTGGGTCTTGGACTAGGGGACCCCAGATGCTCCTTCCGCCTGGAATGTTTTTCCCTGAGATCTTTCCATGGCGCCTTCTTGAGATTCAGATCTCCCTTCAAAGGGTGCCTGAGAGTCCTATCCTGACCCCTCTGTCTAGGAGAGCCTCCGACTCCAGCTACTCCCAATCACATTCATTATGCTGGGTTTTTGGTTTGTCTGTTTTGGGTGTCTTTTTGTCTTTTGCTTTTTTTTTTTCCCTGAAGAGCACTTATGTAGCCAATATTAACATATTAAGTGACACGTTTCATTTCTGGTTGTAACTGCCTTGTCCGGCTCGCTGACGGCAG